GGCAGTTTTTCTGTATTTCCTCTATCCTGTAATATGACTTGATAGCTTTAAACTCCGCACACGGAGCTCTGATTGGTCAGCAGGCGGTGCTTTCACTGAGTTGATCTCTTAGCCTGCAACCTCCCGAGGAGGTTAGCCGCTCAGCATAAGTTACCATGGAGATCTAGCCCGCTAAAAAGAGAACCAGCGTCGTAGGACCGGAAAGCCAGAGTTTTCCCTGAAGTCAGCCGGCTAAGCGAAAATCCGGCTTCGTAGTACAGGCCTCAGGTGTAACAGGAGCTCTCCTTGCATTTTTAACATATGCCTTAATTTTAAACTTTTTAAACACGGGTCCATTCTTAAATCCGAATAATGGGCCCTGCATCTTAGCAGTGCACACAGACAAATTGAAGCACTTTGGGTACGGTAAACACGCTCTGATGCAAACATTTGTTCTCACCGCGGGCCAACAACAACAACAACAACATAACCTTAAGCGAAATAGTGAAGTCCGAGACAAACGTCAAAGTAACTGCCCTATCATCATCACACTCTACCTGTTGCTATCTGGAGACGTACATCAGTGCCCAGGCCCAACAACTCGAAACATCAACCGTGAAGTCACGAAGAGCAACAACCCTGTCTCTCAGGTATGTGACACTCACAGAGAAAGCACAGTGATTGAATACATACACCAACCTAATGTGATGCCTTGCGTTTGCTGTCTGAGTGAGTAGCATGAAGCTGCAGCGTCGGAGACTGCAGTTTCAGGACCGCAGTCCTAGGACCCTAGTTTTTCGTGACACTGCCACCTAGCGAGTAGGAGACATGAATATGAACGACAACGCACAGAGTGTGAGTAATGTGAAGTGTTTTTAAAGTTTTATTTGTTTAACATTAATAACAATTCCGGTGTCTTGAAATGAAGTGTGATTAGCTAACGTTAACTATGATTGTCTTAAGGCAATACAAACAATCACCTGTTAGCTTATGATAGCTTCTAACCGTATTAAAGGCACTAAAAACAATTATTCGTTAGCTATAGCTTTCGGCAAAATAAACTGTTAGCATTTTTGATTATTTATTTAATGAAACTGTAGCGTGATTTTGGCAAGCCCAACTAGGTGTCCTACATTAATTGTTGATTTAATCACTAATTACATTAAGAGTGTGAGTAATGTGAATCGTGTTGTTTGTTTAAAGTTAACAACTATTCTGGTGTATTGAATTGGACAGCAATACAAGCAACACGTGTTAAATGTCAGTCTTACAGGGAAACAGTCATCTGTTAGCCTATGATGACTCGCTGCAAAACCAACTGTTAGCCTTTTTGTTTATTTGTTTAATGAAACCGGGTGCTTTCAATGCGACCATCTTTATAAGGACGTTGGCACAGGCTACCGGGGAAGTGGACGGCGAGGAATCTTGGAGGGTGTTTACTCCGAAGAGAGCTTCCCGGGGTACTGCAGCTGGAGCTGTTTTCTGGTGGCTGAGGGAACAACAGACCCTCACCCCAGTGAAGAATCCTCAGTGTCCTCTCCACTTTCAGAGGAAGGGTCAGAGGAAGTCAAAGACATGCTGGACTCCAGAGGTCATTCCGTGTCCGCGTTAAGGAAATTGTGCCCGTCTTCTAAATAAATAAAAATGGATTCTGCACTGAAATGCCTCTCGGTCAAACTGCATGTTTATCTTTGGCAGCCAGGTGCATAAACACACTGAACAGTTGTTTTTGTTTTTGAGTAATCAAGCACCTCTTCAAAGACACATTTAATTTGATTATTTCGAACGTGTAATATAATAATGAAATGAAACAAGAGAATTATGATACTGTAGAAACGTAAGCAGTATCAAATTGATAAACTAAATATTATTGACTCACAAATTATATATAAACAAATGATCTAACTAATTACACATCCGAAAAGGCGTGGGAAGGAGTTTACATGTATTTAATCCTGACTGGGAAAGTATGCTAACTGGGAGCAGTGTAGAAACAGACAGCCAAATGTTTGCGACCAAGCTACATGATTTAGTGGAGATGTTCTCCAGAAAAATGAAAAGTGGAAAAAACAAAAACAATGCACTTTCTTGGTTCAATACGGACATATTGAACTTGATGAAGGAAAGAGACTTTGCACTGAAAAGAGCACTGAAAACTAAATTAACTACTGACAGGCATAGGTTTACTTCATTACGTAACAAAGTAACTCAAACAATCAGAAAGGCCAAAGCCAACTTCTTCATAACAATAATTAATGAGGCAAAAGGTAACACTAAAATAATTTGGGAACAGATTAAAAGCTTACTGGGAATCAAGCACAGGCCAAAAAAGCAGCTAGAACTAAAAGAGAATGGTAACCTAGTGCAAGACCCAGAACAACTTGCCATAGCTTTTAATAAATATTTGATCAACTCTGTAGATGAGATTGCACAGAACTTTCCCTTGAGAGCAGAACATATTATCAAAGTCGACGAAAGTAAGATGTCATTCAACCCATATCGGAATTAAAAACCAAAGCAATTATTAATTCTCTTAAAACTTTGACAGCTAAGGACACATACACTATGGATTCTACAATACTTAAATCACTGCAAGATTACCTAGTCTGCCCTCTTACCCAAATCATCAATTCATCTGTATTACATGGGACATTCCCAAGTGCATGGAAGACTGCAATTGTAACCCCCATTTTCAAGTCAGATGACCATCTGAACATCAACAACTACCGCCCAATTAGCATCTTACCTGTAGTATCCAAGGTGGCTGAGAAGTGGGTGTCAGAACAGGTTGTCTCCTTCTTAAACAACAGTCCATTTCAACTTCATCCCATGCAAGTTGGCTTCAGGGCAAATGATTCAACCGAAACAGCCAACTGCTTTTTTATAGAAAAGGTCAAAGCAATGGTTGACAAAGGAGGTGTTGTTGGTGCAGTATTCCTGGATCTACGCAAAGCTTTTGATAAAGTCAATCATATGGTCCTTCTTTCCAAACTGTCGGCTTTTAACTGCTCTCCATTAACACTCAGTTGGATTGAATCATACCTCACTGGTAGGCGTCAGCATGTTATCGACTCACTCCAGCTCTAGACTTAAGCACCGGAGTACCACAAGGTTCAATACTTGGTCCACTTCTTTTTACGCTATATATTAATGACCTGCCATCTGTCTGTCCTGATGTGGAAACACAGCTATATGCCGATGACACTGTGATATATGTGCACGCCAATACAAAGCAAAAGGCTGCTGATAAACTGACCTCAGCTTTAGTGCTGATCACTAGCTGGCTACACCGCTCCTGTCTTCAGCTTAATGTAAACAAAACAGTAGGAATGTTTTTCACAAAAAGAAAATGCAACATTGTGTCAAATATAAGCATATCAGGTGAACATATTGATATTGTGCCTCAGGTTAAGTACCTTGGAATCATTATTGACTCTAATTCAACATTCAAAACACAAGTAAAAAAAGTGACCCAAAGAGTAAAGTTTAGCCTAGCAGATTTTAAATACATAAGAAACACAATGACATTGAATTCTGCCAAATTATACATGAATGCCATGATCATGTCACATCAAACATACTGTCTCACAAGCTGGGGGCAAACTAACAGCTCCACACTGAAGCCACTAGCAACCCTGTACAAACAAACCCTCAAAGTACTGGACCAGAAACCTAACAGCTCCCATCACTGTACCATCCTCAACAAGCATAACTTCCTGAGTTGGGAAGATTTAATAAAGTATAGGAACATTGTTCTGGTGTACAAAATCCTGCACAATACAGCCCTTCCACCTCTTAACTCATTGGTTACTCAACGTAACAACACCAGACTGACCACTAGAAGCTCCACACGTGGCGACCTATCAGTCCCATTCAGGAAGAGTACTTTTGGTCAGTCATCATTCTCGGTCACAGAAATACAAAACTGGAACTCTCTACCCACTCAAATCAAAGACATACAAACACATCACCTTCACAGCTCACTTAAAAACATGGTTCACTGAGAACTACACTTGCACACACTAGTCTGTGTTGAGTATGGCGTGAGTGTTACATGTTGTGATCATGGATGTTGCCCCTCGTTTCTGTTATGTGATTGTGATGTGCTCTATGTGACTTGTACTGTATGTAGTAATGTGTGTTGTTTATTGTTCTCTTTTATCCTCTCTTATCCTTTCGCCTGCAATATTTTATTTTATATTTTTTTATAACTAATGCTGTTGATATATTGTGATTTTAAGGGTGTCTATTACCATCTGGCCGGGGACAACAGCTGGAAATTAGCCATGTCGGCTAAAAGCTGCTCCATTTACTGTTTTTTTTGACAGTTCATCAATGGGGACTGTCCACGACACTATAAATAAATAAACTAAACTAAATTATAGAGGAGACAGTCAAAGATTATTTTCAGATAGTGTTGCAATCAGAGGGTTTTATCTTATCTCTCTTCTTTTACATAGTTTACTTATTTCTGCAATTTTTTGCACAATTCTGTCCCTGTACTAGTTATTTTCATTTGATGACTTATTGTATGTTGCACTGTTGGAGGAGCCTGGGACTGAAAGAGGAAATTGCCAAAACTACACTGTATCTATTGTGCATACATACTACAGTGTAAAATTGAATTGAGAAGAAGTTTACAATAAAATTAATTAATAATAAAAGTAACTGTACTGTACTTTCCAACACTGATGCTAAGAAAAATCACTTTTCAGCCAAATGGTTTTTTTCAGTTAGACACAGCATATTCCTTACCACTCTTCCGAGCATTTATGGTTGAGAACAACTAGATTACAAATTAAAGGATGTAATCAAGGAGTTCATAAAGGAGCTATTAGTGTAGTATTCTCATCAGTCAGACAGTGTCGCCACAGTTGTTGAAAGGTTGAGGGAAGGTTGTGGAGTTTGTTGCTCAAAACACAGTCGAACGTGAACCCAAACCAAACAACTCTGCCCTCTACCGTTAAAACTATAGGAGGGGGGATCTGCAGAGAAGTGTGTAGACAACTGGCTTAAACCAGATCTCTTTAACCCTACTTACACCCCCACCCGTGCCGGTCTCACACAGGGAGTGTGTTCACTTCATGAGAGTGTATCACAGCGTGTTGGTGCGCGTGTATGCGGACAAACGCATGTGATACTATGCGTAAGAAAGTTCAGTTGGTCATTTAATTTGGAAACATCGCGGATGACAGCGGCGACCAAGGAAGGAAGAGACTAGCGACACACAGGTGAGACCGGCTAAAACACAAATTATTTAATTATATGTTTGATTGAGTGGAATGAACTGTATATTTAATTAATTATAAGCCTCAAACCGGCAAGATTTCAGTACTTACACGGTGTGTTTGCGGCTTTTAAAGTCACGTTGTCCTCGGAGCACATGAGCCGGCTGAGGGCGTTGCGTCAGACGCAAGAAGGGAACACATGCCGGGGACATAAAGTCAATACTACCCCCCCCCCCTCCACCCTTCATTAAACACTTCTCAATTAAAAACGTATGAAATTGATATGTAGAACAATTTTTTGTTGTATTACTACTTGGATAAGATTTAAAAGTATATTTGATTGTAGCCTATATAATAAGATTTGTGGAAGATTGAAAATATTTTTGTTTTGGATACACAGAAACGCTTCAATAATTGACTTTTATAAGTAATTCGCAGTATTAGTCCAAACTATGTAAACACCTATCTTATCTAAGAATGTTATATGACAATACAACCTTTGAATCTTTGTTGATGACCAGTCTTTGATTGTACTCCAGCACCTTGAAAAAGTAAATACACCCACTGAATTAAAGTTTTTTAAAAAATCGAATCAACTGTAAAGATAATCCTATTACTATTACGGCTGTTATTTAACCAGAGAATGTAGGAGCACTGATGGACCCTGGATATAGTAGTTTTGGTGAACTAAACAAAAGTCAAGGTTCTTCAACTTTTTCCAGATATTTCAGCTGCCAAATCTTAAGTAAATATTCACGCTGTACTATAAATATTTGTGGATTTTTTTTCTAATTCTTTAATATCTTTGTTATATCTCTTTGCTGACAGTAGTAGTCAGGTGTAGCTTTTAAATCTGTTGTGTTACAGTACATTGAAATTAGTGATCGAATTATCGGATAATGTGCTTGTATTGTAGCATTTGTATTTGCTGTAGTAAACAGGTGGTTAATAGCTGTTCTATGTCATAATTGTCATGTTTATGGGTTTAAATGTGATGAGCAGGTATAACTGGTATTGAATTATGTTAGTTCACCATTTACTCACCATTAATGAAGAAAAAAGGTGCAGCTGCCTTGGAAACTTTAAGCATAAATTAGACAAGTATTCATGTTTTTAGACTGTAAATGATTGATTGATTACCCAAAACAGTATTGCACGGGAAACAGTGAAACTAGGCCAAATGTGATTATATGTTGCATGGTATTATTGTGTTAAAGGTGCCGTGATCTGCACTTTGACTTAAGGGCGGATTTTTTTATTTATTAGCCATATCAGGGGTGTCCAACTCAGTGGGCCAAAATAAAAAAATCGGTACTAGTCGAAGGCCGGACTGGTTCAATGTTTATTGCAAAACGTATTGAAATGAACTTATTGCACACCTGGAACTAACAAAGCTTAAATGATTGCCTATAAAAACAACATTAAACATTAAATAATCAGTTGCATTCCTTTCTTATGGCTCTGTCTGCAGATTTTACATTTTTCCACAGGCCAACAGCTTCAAAAAAACAATTTCCCTCAAAGAAAAAAACAAACATGCCCTGTTGTCGCAAGAAAAAAAGTACAAAAGGAAACATCCATTGAAACTCAGTGTGCTGCTCTGTGATGCTAGTTCAAGCCAGATACTTGGCATCTCATCTTGGGTGCAAGTTCGTCAATGTTTGGGGTCAGGCTCTGAGCTGAGGAAACCCTCAGGATTGAGTGAAGGTGTGCGTGCAATATACCGGCGGGCCAGATCTAATAGTAATTAAAAATTATCCCGCGGGCCGAAATTAAATCCACCAAGGGCCTGATTTGGCCCCCGGGCCTTGAGTTTGACACATGTGGCCTATATCAAAGCTGTATGAGTATACAGTGAAGACACATCAGTTGTACAAAAGTAAGAAGTAAAAGTAAAATCAGAAAAGGAGAGAGTTTGAGTCATCCAGCTTATTTGATACAGTGTAAATTAAAAAAATTAAAAATGGAGATAAAATGCAAACAAGGTTATGCTATATTTTACTACCATAGGGCACACAATATTCTCATGTTTTACCCAGGGTCAAAAGGTCTTTTTTAAATAGGTCTAAAACTGTATTATTGATAACAACCGAAGTGCTTTTGCATTAATCATTGATCAGGCCCAGCCTTGTGCAAAAAGATGATGCACCACAGCCCTGCCCGTGTTTGTACTGTAGTCTGGTTCAGATGCATAGAACCACTTTGTGTAAAAGGAAAGCTGCCATAGTTCATAGATCAGAATTAGCATCGTATTTACTGCCATTCATCAGCTCATTTCTGTAACTGGAGACTATGAGCCTTGTCATATTCGATGTGAAGAGGAACACAGACTGCAGTGGTATTGAATACATATATTTGGGATAAACAGTGATAATCTTTTTCATTACGTTACATTTAGCTGATGCTTTTATCCAAAGCAAGTTACAATTTGAGCAATCAAACATGAGTATACTGTCAGGGTCTACAGGAGGTTGGACCCAAGCGCAGTGAAAGAGGGAGTGAGGAATTGATAACCAAAAATCTAGCTATTAATTAAGAAAAGCTGAAAACAGTTTAACACAAAAACAAGGGGACGAAACAGGAATGCTGGGAATCCGACAGAGACGAAATACTCCAAACATCAGGCCTGGACAGGAACAAAGATGACGATCTGACAACCCTAACCCTAACACTAACCCTAAGAACATACAAGATCACAAAGACAATACATAGCTGGGGAGGGAAGGCAAAGGCACCAGGTAATCAAACAGGAGGGAAAACACAGAGACAGGAAGAACAAATTGAATTATTGCCGGTCTCTAAACTCCCATTTCTCTTCCCAGGGCATGGCACTTTGTGGAGTCAAGAGGGGGCGATTCCTGGGGCCCAATGTGTACCCAGAAGCCCCAGATGGAGGCTGGGGGTGGATGGTGGCCATCGCCTTCTTCGTGGTGGAGGCTTTCACCTACGGCACCATCAAGATCTTCGGCATCTTCCTCCAGGACATCATGGAGGAGTTCGGCGAGACCAACAGTCGAGTCTCCTGGATTATTTCCATCTGCATTTTTGTCATGACCTTCAATGGTGAGCCCAGCTGATGAAGTTATAGGAAGTAAAACACAGCCTATGCATTGAAATAAGTTGTGAGAATGACTGTGTTATAGTCCCTCAGTTAACAACGTATGTTCTCCTCAGGTCCTCTTTCCTCCGTGTTGACGAGCCGCTGTGGGTTCCAGCCTGTTGTTATGATCGGAGGATTACTTACCGCCACCGGTACCATCGCAACCAGCTTTACCAGCTCCATCAATCAAATATACATCACATATGGATTGGTAGCAGGTAATGACATGCTTTCTTCTACCCTATATCATCACATAATTATTTGAGTCTTTGAATAGGTTTAGTAGAATTGTGTCTGTATCAATAACCATTTAATAAACTTGCATTATTTCCACTTTCCAGGTCTGGGCTACAGTCTGACCTACCTCCCCACAGTGACCATCCTCTCACAGTATTTTACGCGGCGGCGGTCTCTGGTCACAGCTGTAGCTTCCACCGGAGAGTCGCTGTCTATGTTCGCCCTCGCACCAGGTCAGCTTGTACAACTCATTTAGAGACAGTAAACTCAAGGAAGACTAAGAAATGTCTTCAGTATTTACCAAGAAAAGTAAAAACTAACCAATAATGGATCTTACAACAAGTATTAGTAGAGTTGTTGTAAGAAAATCTATTAGAAACACATCAGTAGCCACGCTTGCACTGACATGTTTCTCCTCAACATGCCCCCGAGATCTGCAGCTTATTTCAAACAACACCCTGCTGCCTACTAGAGTGTGGCTAAAAATAGTCCCTAAAATCAATGATGTATTCCTTTGTGTGTAATCTTTGATACACACCAAAGGGCTCAGCTGTTATAGGCTATTGTTACACTTATTTGTGAAATAAAATTTTACATTTTCTTCTCATTTAAAAAAAAGATTCACATCTTTGGTGGGAACAATTGGTAAAGAGCCACAGATACTGCCAACAAATAGTTTTTTTTATTGACTTGTTGAGAGAAATTGCTTTCTGTGTGTGTGTTTTTATGCTGTCCTCTATCATATGTAGTTTTTTGTTAAGGACACCCTTTACATTGAGATAATCTCAAGGTTTTATCCTACAAATACACTTTATTTTACCTTTTAAATGTAGAACAGAACCGTTATATTTACAACTAAGTGCACCAATCACTAAATACCTCCTCTTCCTCAGCCTTTTCTGCGTTGAGGGACCGTATCGGCTGGAGACACACCATGGTAGTGATAGGAGCTCTGCAGAGCACCATCATCATCTGTGGAGCCCTGCTTCGGCCAATCATCATCAAACCCAAAGTGAGCTGTGAGACAGAAGCTGAAGGGTCGTCCCCAAAGGAGCTGGAAGCCCTCGGTTCACCGGTGAATGTAGAGGATATACACCCACAGGACTCAACTACCTCAAATGCACAGAATACCTCCCACAATGAGCTCCGCCGAACCTCTGTGAGCACAGGAGACTCTGGAGTCCAGTCCGTAAAGGAAAAGTACGACAGCAGCCAAGATGAGAAGACTTTACTGCACAAAGAAGCCAAGAAATCTGCGGAAAACGGTAAAGCAAAGACTAGTCCATTTGAATCTGTGGAGAAACGGAGCGAAGATGCAGAGAAACAAATCATGCAAGTGGAGGAAATTAAATCAGGTGATGGAAAAACGTCCACAACGAAATCAAAGCTGATAGATTTCTCCATCCTGAGAGAGTGCAGCTTCATTCTCTACTCTATGTTCGGACTCTTTGCCACGCTGTGTTTCTTCGTGCCCCCTTTATATATCATCGATCTGAGCGTGAGTCGAGGCGTGGAGCGGAGTCACGCCACGTACATGCTCTCCATCATGGCCGTGACAGAGATATTCGGGCGGTTCTCCATCGGGTGGATCATGTCACGAGAAATGTTCAGGAAAAGGAAGCTGCTCGTCCTGCTGGTGTGTGTGATCACCATGACCGTGGATGTGGTGGGATTCACTCTGGTGACGGAGTTCTACGGCCTGGCGGTCTGCTGCGCTTTCTACGGGTTCTTTATGGGAACGGTAGCCTGCACACACATCCCGATGCTGGCTGAGGACGATGTGGTGGGAATAGAGAGGATGTCTTCGGCTGCCGGGGTCTACGTGTTCATACAGAGCTTTGCTGGGCTCTCTGGACCCCCACTTGGAGGTAAGAGTTTATTCTGAATACTGGCTATGGTTTCATTTTACTGCAGCTTTTTAACACACAAGGATGTGATGGTGTATATGTTTGATTGACTGTATGCTTTTGGACATACAGTCAATCAAAGAGGAAAGATGGAGAGAAAAGCAATCGATGACAAAGCAACAGGAAATGCATAAATGCTGTTTTGAGGTCTAGTTTGGATATCCAGCAATATGATTAATATGATTTAATCCCACACTGACATTATAACCAAGGATATACGATTTATCTACAGCAGCAACGAAAACAATGAATTGTTCGGTCTTCAAAATATCAGAAGATAGTGAAAACCTTCCACCACAGTTTCTAAAAGTCCAAGATGATTTCTTTAAATGTCTTGTTTTACCTGTCCAAAACCCACAGGTATTAAAGGTGGGGTATGTCATTTATTTCAGAAACACTTTTTGTTATATTCCATGGAATGCTCTTAACTTCCCGATAGCAATGAATATATTAAATGCTTTGACAATAAATACATTAAAAAATGTCACCTGTGGAAGCCGTGGCGCTGTAAAAAGCACGACCAATCATCTGAGCCGGCCCGGCTAAAATAACTGGATGGCCTACCTGCCTGTCAGCCTTCCACCTGTGCACAAACTTATCTCGTGCCCTCATTGGTCATGTGCGCGTTCGTGTGTGTTGGAGGAGGGGCTCTGTAAGGAAGTCTGAAGGAAGGGGCAGATTTTTTACGGTTGTGTACGTTCAAATTCTAGCGCACTCGAGCTGGTTTCTCCAAAATTACCTACCCCACCTTTAAAGTGGACCTATCATGCTATATTTGAATAATATAGTGTAGGGCCATACCTATATAAGGTATATTTATACTTTTTTTTTTTCAAAATACCAAACAGATCATGCATTTTAGCCATGCCTCATTTTGCTCAATTTGACATTTTTTAGCTCTGGATTTGCAAGGGCTGATTCTGTGAGAACAGCACCACCTATAGGCCTGGCATATGTACTACAGCGTCTCCAGCGCTTTCGAACGGCAATGGCCGTGGCTGTCTCCTCCTGATTGGTGGAGTTGGCCCAATAGCCGTAGCGCCACTGTCCTGACGTCAGGACAGTGTTCAAATCTAGATCAGTTTTTATCAGATCCGTTGCAGCCCCTTTTTTAGAGATTTGGGTATGGAGGAAAATAGAGAGGGTTGTGTTTTCTGACACTTGGTGAGTTCCCTGGAACACCGGGGACACATATTCATGTATAAAAGACGTACCAAAGTGCATTTTGCATGATAGGTCCCCTTTAAGTTAATATAATAAAAAAGAGAGAAAAGTAAGTCATCTCTTTTTAAAATGAGGTCATTGTTTAATCAATATCAAAATAGTTGGCGAGTATTTATCTGTCGAACGACAAATGTTTAAAGATTAATCATATTTTTTTAAAGCTTAGGGTATACCTTTTTGCTTGACGGGCTAACATAAATGTTTAGTACTTAAATAAAGTTTAGAGATTTAGGAAAGACAAACTAACAAAAATAAAAGTCAAATTGGTTCAGTAGATACCGAAATATTCATAAAAATATCATTTTATAATGCAGGCTTTACATTAAAAAAAGTATTGTATTCAATCCCAAACTGAGATAATTGTTTCAGTCCCAGAAGACTTTATATTAACGTTGTACTCCAAATAAGTTATTTGTTGGAGTGCCCTTCTTAATGCTTCTTTGATATCTCCTCCATCCCCAGGTTTGCTGGTGGATTTGACTCAGAACTACGGCTCCGCCTTCTACTCCGGTGCGGCCGGGTTGGGAATCAGTGCCGTGTTCCTGGGTCTGGTTCCACCTGCTAAGAAAGGATATCTCTGTCGAAGGAAGGTCTCAAAACGCTCCGAAGACGTACATGAACGCAAAGAGGACTCAGAAGAAAAAAGCGCAGTGAACAATTCAGACAAAAGACCCGACCGTGCTCAGGATTCCTCTGAAGCGACGGAGGCCACAAGAGATGTTCAGGAGGTTATACGTTTTGCTTAAGCTGATAACGTTTATTAAAGCGATCAAGCCATATGAGGGTGAAATGCAAAAAAGACAGTAGCTAGCTGACTTGAAATTATGAATAGAAGAATAGAAGAATAGAATAGAAGACCAAAAGTGTTTATGATCTGCCAACTTTTACATTACAATACAAATCAATTGTACCTAGGGCTGGGCAATATGAAATAAACATAAATATCACAATATTCTGGACCGACTACCTGGATATTGTAGGTTTGAGCATTGATGCTTCAACGAAATATACACAGTGAGAGTTTTTATATACAATCTTCATTAATGTGGATTTTTTGCAGGTGAAAGCAAATAATAGAAGTCTGGTTAGTTCAGTGTATTACAACACTTTACTGTAATGCAGCCTTTAAAACCAGTCACAGACAACACCAGTCACAACATGATATAAGCCCAGCCCTAGTTGTACCATCCCATGTACCAAACAGTATTTTTTAATGATCTATTCTATGCTATTAAATTAGCTTACGGTTTTGTAGGGGCCCCATTATGCTCTTTTGGGTTTCCTCTTTCCTGTTGTGTGTTATATAGGTTTTTTAACTCACTATGAAACACTTGGGCTTCTTTTGGCGAGCGCTTCAACACATTGTATGTGATAGGCTAAGGGGCGGGACATCTCTAAGCGTTTGACCAATCACAACAGAGCCGGCCAGCTAACCAATCACAGCAGACTGGGCTCTGGTTTCAGACGAAAGACAAAAGAGGTGCTGCAGCACAGGCAATATGAGAAAAATAAAGTGCTTTTTGAACATTAAAGCATGGAGACATGTCACAGGAGAAACGCTGAATACTAATATGAACCTGGAAATGAGCGTAATATGTACTTTAATTAAGTCTTTCTTTACAAACGACGGATGTGAGATATGGCTGGAGAGTATGGATGGAGAGTATGGATGTGTTAATGCAGTGTTAATGGACGTTCCTCAGTTTTTTATATTCTTGGAGTTAAACTGAAACTTGAACTATACTACAATCAATACTACAATAATGACCAGAAAAACTGTGACGCTGAGAATAGTAAATTGCATTAATGCTGTAACTAGGGTTATATAAATTACATTAGCTCAGTAGATGTGATTTTTATTTTTAATCAGATTGTCATCAAGCAGACAATGTACTGTTTTGTGATACGAGATGTATGATTCAAATCTATTTTTGTAATGAAAATGTGTTCAATGAATCACAATAAAGCAAAGAGTGATTTTAACAAATGAAATATGTTTAAAGGTTGTTTTTTTTCGTCTTAAAATGCACAAAGAAAACCTCTTAAAAGCTTAGCGGTCCAGATCATAAGCAACTCATTGCAACCTCTGTTGTGTCTGTCACATAATTAACTGGAAATTATGATTTTGATAAATGTATATATTTAAAAATAAGTATATAATGTCCAAGACATATGGCATCTTTAACCTAGATTTATAAACATATTAACCTAAACTCAGCATTTCATTCGGCCTGGAAACTGAAGTGCCATTTAATTATTTTACAATCAATACAACTCAACTACCTGATACATTCTCTAGTGGGCCCTGTGCTCATCCTCAAATAAGGTGCAACAGTGCAACAAAATAAAGACTCTTTTGTAACAGCAGAAGTATTAAGCACATGTGTATACAAGGATAGGTGGGGGATGTTGCATATATCATATATACAAGTACTATAGTAGCTTCTTATTCCCGCAGTATGTCCAGGCACCTGTGCAGCCACAGTCTGGAGGTCTGAAAGGCTTCTGTTGGTTTGGGAAAGTGGAGCAGAGACTGACAGGTGGAGGCCTCCTCTGGTGTTTGATCCACCTCCATCCAGTGCACTAAGGCCTGTTGAACACAGATAAACAATCACTAAAAGAGAGTACAAAAATCTGTGTCTGAGATTTATTGTGAAATATGAGGTTTTGTTATGCAGTGATCACAATAACACCAGAGAGAAACATCTGAAAAAGGGAATGTAAAATGTCAAAAGATTCAAATTATTTTTGATATGATTGGCTTCACTTCAGTGGACATTTGTCTTTGGTTTAACAGAAGTACAGAAAAGGGTACATGCGGGATACACAACACACAATTAAAACATACAAATATACAATATAAGTTAGTACAAATCGGCATGTAGCAGAAAATATGTTTGTTTTCTTTGTACCTTGTATTGGTCAGCTATTTTGAATCCGATGGCGACCTGTAGCTTGCGAAGGCAGACGGGACAGAAGTCCAGCGGGCGGCGGTCAGACTCCTCCAGGTGGTTGGAGCCCGGCTGCATCACACAGCTCAGCCACTGGCAAGGCTTCAACCCAAACATGTGACCAATCTCATGGGTCATTATCTGCAAAAGAAATACCCTACATTAGAGAAAAACAACCAACATCATTGAGTGTTTTTATCACCAGTATTCATGCTGAATTCCTGTGACTCCAACAAAGAGCTAATTATTTTAGGAGACTTTAACATAAACTGGAATGACAAACCAAATAGAAATAACTTAAAACGGATCACGGATAAACACAACTTAATACAACTAATGGATCAACCGACTAGAATAACCAAAACCTCCAAGACTATGATAGATTTAGTATTTACAAACAAAGCTGACAGAATAGTTAAAACCTACAACTTCCTGACTGGTCTTTCTGACCATAATCTTGTTCTTTTGCCAGGAAACTCACAAAAAAAAGGTTCATGGCCAAACCTAAAACCCCTGCCTTGGGTTCACGCTTCATCCCCAAAAATCTGCAACAACGTGTTATGGAGGCTGTGAAAATGATTGATTAGGGGGACACTCTCTCCTCTGAAGACATTGGTGAAAACAGTGATCTGTTTATATCTCAAATTAATGATACAATGTCTTCCTTGGGATAGGAAGGAACATCATCTTCCCTGGCTGAATCTACAGTGCAGGAATCTAATGAAATCTAGAGACCAACAATTAAAGCAGAGCTTGAAATCCAGACTATCCACTGACAGACAGAAATTCACTCATGCTCGTAACAAGGTAACGCAAACAATAAGACAGGCTAAAGCGAACTTCTTCATCAATATAATTGAAGGTGCGAAAGGTAACGGTACAAAAGTTTGGCAAATCTTAAATAAACTATTGGGTAAACATACCAAACAGGAAAATAATGTACTAGAATTAAAAATCAATGATGCCCTGATAAAAGACCCGGCTGTATTGGCCAACTCTCTAAATTAGTATTTCATAAATAGTGCTCTGGACATTGCAAAGCTCTTCCCGCCATCTGAGGTCTCACCTAGCCCGATTGTGGATACACACCCCGTTTTTGACCTGGAGGAAATCACAGAGTTTGAGGTAAAACATATAATCTCAGGGTTAAGAGGTTCTAAGGCTAGGGATGCAGATGATTTAGACACCAACTTTATAAAGACACATATCGACGGTCTAATTAATACAACCAATTACTATGTTAGTAAATCAATCTATCAGCACGAGGGAAGTTCCATCGTCCTGGAAGGTGGCCATGGTGACACCGATCTTTAAATCTGGGGATAAGGCAATGATGTCCAATTACAGACCAATCAGCATCCTCCCCTGTGTCTCTAAGGTAGCTGAGAAATGGGTGTCAAAACTAATCACCAAACATTTAGACAAAGGTTTCGCTCCACTCCACCCAATGCAGTTTGGTTTCCGTGCTCACCACTCCACTGAGACAGCTAACTGTGTCTTTGTGGAAAAGGTTAAATGTATGTTGGACACGAGCCCATATGTAGGTGCTGTCTTCCTTGATCTCAGGAAGGCTGTTGGGGTTCCACAAGGTTCCATTCTTGGACCATTACTGTTTTCACTGTACATTAATGACTTGCCTAATGTATGTCCTGAGTTGAATGTGCAAATGTGTACAAATGTATGCCGATGATGCGGTCATCTTTGTACACAGGAAAAACACTGAAATTATCTCATCCTGTCTCTCAAATGCTTTGGACAAGGTTCAACACTGGCTGAACAACATTTGCTTACAGTTAAATGCAAAAAAACAGTATGCATGATGTTCAGTAAACGACCAGTCAAAATCGAAGGATCCAACCTATACAGTCTATGGATCCAACGTGTTTTTAAACGGAGCAGAAATAGAACTAGTCTCCCACTTCAAGTATCTTGGAGTCATAATGGACTCAAACTTGACTTTTAAGAAACATATTAAGAAAGTATCCAATACCATTAAATTCAACTTGCAACATTTTAAACAAATTAGACCTTTCTTAAAGGTGGGGTAGGTAAGTTTGAGAAACCAGCTCGAGATACACTTTTTGTTATATTCCATGGAATGCTCTTAACATCCCGATAGCAATAGATATCTTAAGTGCTTTGACAAAAAATCCATAAAAAAATGTCATCTGTGGAAGCCGTACTACTGTAAAAAGTACGACCAATCATTACCTGCCTGTCAGCCTTCCATCGGGGCACAAACTTATCTCGTGCCCTCATTGGTCATGTGCGCGTTCGTGTGTGTTGGAGGAGGGCCTCTGTAAGGAAGTGGCAGATTTTCTCCGGCTGTGTATTTTCAAATTCTAGCGATCTCGAGCCGGTTTCTCAAACTTACCTACCCCACCTTTAACTGTCAATGCTGCAAAGTCATGTAGTCACTGTATGATTCCATCCCATATTGAATACTGTTTTACAAACTGGTCGTTTGCTTGTGCCACAAACCTGAAACCCATAGAACAGCTGTACAAGAGAGCTATCAAGGTGTTTGACAGAAAGCCAAATTCATACCACCACTGTACCATCCTTGAAAAACACAATTTCTTGAGTTTTGACAATCTTAAAAGTATTTTGTTTTTTTTTATAAATGTTTACATGGACTGGCCCCCCCTCCCTTAGGGGAATTCATCCACAAAAAACACACTGGACGCTGCATTGGTCAGAAACCAGAGGAGACAGTGAAGTCCACCGTAGACGGACCACTTTTGGACAAAATGTCCTTTCCATTAAAGGCAGCTCTTTGTGGAATAGCCTCCCAACTGAGATACGGGATTGTCCCACTCTCAGCTTCAAAGGTCAACTCAAAGAATGGTTGAGAAACAAACAGACGCAATCACCGCTAAATGCACTTTAACACAGGGGTATCTCCTCTTGCACTCTATATGTCGTTGCTGCTATATTGTATTACCATGTCATAAATACTTGTGTATGCTGCTCTTGCTCTCTTGCACTTTTTGCATATCATGTATTTTGTTTTTGCTATGTTTGTAAAATGTAATTTTCTTAAATGTTGTATGTGAGGGACTGCGGATGGAAATTAGCTCAAAGCTAAATCTGGCACTGTTACGCTTGATATATTTTAATGTTTTAAGTGTTCATTATGTGCATTGTCCCTGCCAAATAAACGATTAAATGAAATTAAATGGATTAGACAACCTTTGGCAATAACACAGGTTCAAAGTACCAACATTGAGTGAGTGGTGGAATGTGTGTTTGTTTAGAAACCTTGCAGGATCGAAGCAGCAGAGAGCTGGTGATGGGGGGGGGGGTGTAATAACCGTCAAACACAGAGTAGTTCTGCTTTGGGTGAAGCCTTTTCTTCACAACCAGGTGTTGTGTCAAATTATACACCCCCATCATGAAATGCCCCCCTTGTCACGGGAACGCGCATTTCTAAATGACACGTTGACACCTTAAAACGATGTTTAAAACAAAAAGTAAACGTTCAGGGTTTTAATTAATGGTAATTTTCAGACTGTGAGTTGTTTAGTGGTAGCTCATATAATCTTGATTCTTGTGGTTAAACGTTTCGCTCCGTATTTGATGGTAGTGGTGTCGAAATTCATTCGTCACTTCCTTTTCAGTTTTTGTTTTTTTTAATCTTTTTTTTATTATTATTGTTACGTCCTGTCTGTATACACGTGCTTTAAAATGTATTTTTTAATTTTACATATTTGTCATATAATAATCAAAATATATGTTTACAAATGTTACATAGTCTTTGTCAGCATATTTTTGCCACGTTATGCACCCCTTGCTATCTTACAAAATAAAAGTGTCACATTCATGAAACTTCCTCCATTCATTGGTACTAGTCCTACAACTATACCCTGAAAAATGCTTGAGGGTGGGATTAATACAAACATCTTTTTGGGTGGGGTGCATTTTATGACAGGCCTGGTTATCACAATATGCCCCCCCTTGCTATCTTACAAAAATAAAAGTGTCACATTCATGAAACTTGCTTTAGAACGAGGTAAAGGATCAACGCAATCAATGATCATGATCATCTGTACCATCTGGGATGGGACACAATTGAGCGGGTTTCACTTTCTGATTGGGCTTACCTGTCATTGGCATGTGTGACACGATTGAATATACTGAGACACATCTCTCTTTAAAAGAGGCCAAAAAAAATACCGCAAGATATAATTATATGTTTTACGGACCCCCAGGTGTCCCGATTGATTATGTGCGGTCCTGAGGTCACGACATTTTACAGGAACCACAACCTGAAACACTGGCTCCGAATTGACCAGGTTCAACCAACGAGCCCCCATATGTTACAACCCGGCTCTTGGGCTGCAACAAAAAGCTGGGAGGCGAGACGAGGGGTCTGAAAGTATAACGATCCTTTATTAGTGGACACCAAAAAGACAGCCGCGACGCGAGGCTTACACGGGGAGTTTACTTTGCGAGAGGAATGAGAGGGGCCTCCCGAAACGCAATGGGCTGTCTTATAACAGCTGCCCAGGTGCAGCTCGTCAGTCCACCCCACAGCACTGGAACCTGCAAACAAGGAGAGAGAGAGACCACAGAAGCCTAGTTGTGTGGAGGGGTCGTCACACTCCCTGAATAACTGCTGCTGTAGCTGTCATCATACCTGGAGAAGCTGAAACTCTCATTCCTGCAACCAAAAGTGAAGGCAACAGGATTTAATGTTTTTGCTTTATCACCATCTAGTGGCAGATCAACAACATTACATCATACAGGACTACTGATGAAATTGTGTAATGTGTGTATATTCTTTTATACAAAATGTTCCTCAACTATGAAGCAATGTTTCTTTGGGGATAACAGGAAGTTGTAATGAATAGGAGCATTATTATTAGGTGTGGTTGGCTGATACAGAAAGTCATATTTTCTCAGTAAAGGCTTTGTGGGAAAGGCTCACCGTTACTGAGAGAAGCTTGTCCGAAAACCAAATTCCAGGAGTCTTTGGGGTAGAGGTTAATCATTGTGATCCCAACAATGCAGAAAGCATCTGTTGGTTTCCTACTCCACAGGAACTGTAGCAGGTCACCTACAATGCAAGATAAAATAATACTAAACAGTTAGTTGTTCTACTATTATTTCATAATAGCTGCCGTTGTTTTGTTTTTTTATGTTTAATATGTCATATATTTTGTATCTTCAGTATGTGTACTACTCTGGTTGGCGCTACAAATACATGGACTAATAATGTGATTTAGAATTTTTATTATATTTGAAAACAAAACAAATCATTCACACTTCAGATGGAGATTTCTGCATTTTGCCAGAACCCCACAGTAGATATGGCACAATGAAAGGTATCCTGAGGTAAAAGTGATGGACTCCCAGCTCACCGGTGAGGATCTGAAGGTTGTGTGAGTTGCTGTTCACCCTGAAGGAGCATTTTGTTTCAGCCACAGTAACCGCCGGCAGTAACTTGACAGAAAGCCCGTAGAAGAAGGCCTGGCAGTATTCTCTGAGCCACTCCACACACTGATCCGTCTGAGCCCCCGCCTTGCCAAAGGAACCTGAAAAACATAGTGCAGATTGAATGCAAGCAAACTATTTAATGCTGCACTTGGAGTCCAAAAACTGCTGCACAACAAACTCTACATGCCTCATCCATCTTTTTTTCTTGCGACAACAGGGCATGTTTGGTTTTTTCTTTGAGGGAAATAGTTTTGTTGAAGCTGTTGTGGAAAAATGTACTCATGAGAAATGACTCTGGAAAAGCTGCAGATAGAGCCATAAGAAATGAATGCAACTGATATTTAATGTTTAATGTTGTTTTTATAGGCAGTAATTTAAGCTGTGTTAGTTCCAGGTTTAATATGTGCAATAAGTTCATTTCAATAAGTTTTGCAATAAACATTGAACCAGTCCGGCCCTCGACTAGTACCGATTTTTTAAATTTTGGCCCACTGTGTATTTGAGTTTGACACCCCTGCTCTAACCCCACTAGACACAAGCAAACTCACCTATGGTTTGAATGTAAATAGTATTGTGGCTTGCATTTGGGGTCTTGCGGGAAGGGTCTCTGTAGAAACTCTCAAAGTCTTGATGCTCCTCAGGGTGAGCGGAGATCCAGTCTGAGTCAGAGTGGCCTGTGATGGGTTGGAAAAGGGAATCGGGCCGCTGCCCTGCATGGAATCCTTCCTCCAGAAGATGCCTCTCTGCTTTTGTGTATTTGCTGTAAAGTCTAGCTAAGTCTTTATGATTGGAGACCAACACTGTCTGCAGTGCCTGGACAGAGTGCTGGATTAACTTCATCTACAACGGAGATATACAACATTAACATGTAAACAGATATGCAGCATTAACAGGGTCACAAATAAAGTCACAGTCATATTTAGAAATTGGCTTTGCTATCAGTTTTTTGTTTTACTTTTGAAGGATACCTGAATGCTTATGACAGAAATGGTGTAATAATAATAATAATAATGCATTTATTTTATATAGGCGCCTTTCAAGGCTCTCAAGGTCGCTGTACAAACACATAAAAAACAAGATACACAATACATAACACCAGCATAAGAGACATAAACAAGACAATGCAGTATATAAATCAATCAAATAAATAAAAACAGAGGATGTGTGATGGATAGTGATCAGGGTGGATATGCGAGTGTGAAGAGATGTGTTTTGAGACGTGATTTGAAAATGGGGAGAGAGTCAGTGTTGCGGATGTCAGGTGGGAGAGAGTTCCAGAGGCGGGGTGCAGAGCGGCTGAAGGCTCTAGACCCCATGGTGGTTAAACGGAAGGGGGGTGCAGTGAGGTGGAGGGAAGCAGAAGACCTGAGAGTGCGGATGGGTGTGTTGATGTGCAGGAAGTCGGAGAGGTACAGAGGAGATTTGACGGGGAGCCAGTGAAGTTGCTGAAGAACAGGAGTGATGTGGTTAATGGAGGGGGTTCTGGTGATGATGCGGGCGGCAAAGTTCTGGACCAGTTGAAGTCTGTGGATGGATTTGAGAGGGAGACCAAAGAGAAGGGAATTGCAGTAGTCAATGCGGGAAGTGACCAGGGTGTGAACAAGAATGGCGGTGCTCTTAGGGTTAAGGGACGGGCAGAGGCGGTTGATGTTGCGTAGATGGAAATAGGCAGACCGAGTGATATGACTGATATGAGATTTGAATGAAAGTGTGCTGTCGAGGATGACAATCAGACTCTTAACCTGAGGGGAGGGGGAGACTGAAGAGTTGTCTATTGTAATTGAGAAACTGTCAGGTTTGGTTAGGGTGGATTTTGTGCCAATGAGGAGAACCTCTGTTTTATTGTCGTTAAGTTTGAGAAAGTTAGAGGAAAACCAGGATTTGATGTCCTGGAAGCAGTCAGACAGGGAGGATGGAGGGAGGATGGTGGTTGGTTTGGAGGACAAGTAGAGCTGGGTGTCATCCGCGTAGCAATGAAAGTGGATGTTGTGTTTACGGAAGATAAGGCCAAGAGGAAGTAGATAGATGATAAAAAGAAGAGGCCCCAGGACAGAGCCCTGGGGAACACCAGTCGTGACTGGAAGTGGCTGTGATTTGAAGTTTGTGAGTTGGATGAACTGAGTGCGGCCAGAGAGATATGATTTAAATCAGAGGAGGGGTGTGTCAGTGATTCCGATGGAGGTCAGTCTGTCAATGAGGATGCTGTGGGAAATGGTGTCAAAAGCTGCACTAAGATCAAGGAGGATGAGGATTGTTAAAAGTCCGGAGTCAGCTGCCATAAGGAGGTCGTTAGTGATTTTCACCAGTGCTGTTTCTGTGCTGTGATGGGGGCGGAAACCAGATTGAAATTGTTCGTAGAGGTTATTGTCAGACAAGTGGGTATGGATCTGAGAAGCAACAGTTTTTTCCAGGATTTTTGAGAGAAATGGTAGGTTAGATATGGGATGGTAGTTATTAAAATTGTTGGGGTTTTGAAAAGTTTATTAACAGCTTGTATATTGGGTACAACAATATTGGGTCTGCACAGAATGTAAGGAAAGTGTGCAAAAGCGTTTTAAATTGATTCAATATAATGACAATTTGATATTACAATGTGATATGTGTAAATTGTGGAGCATGAAGTTTTGAAAATGTTAATTCTGGAGCTGAAAAAAGCAGCATACCGAAGCGACTGAGACAGAACAAGTATTATACACTTACGTTCAACAACGCAAAAAGCCTGTTCTCGACACTATCAAAACCCTTCTTTAAGCCATGTTAATGAACTTATTCGTGGAGAATAAATGCTAATATTATCTTAAATGTGGACAAGAGGTTCACCCATGTTGACACCGGAAGCCGTTTCCGCATTGTACGTCATCCGGTGACGTAATGTAAACACAGGGGCGGAGCTTCCGGAATCACTCCGCAGACAGACAGCAGAAACACACCTAACAACCGGAGTACCGCTTATCATACTCCGGACAACTGTAGAAGTGACTGTATTTAACCTTTAACTCATTTCGTTTTCTTAGTGATGGACTTGCTGTCAAGTACAGACAACGGTTATTAACCCCGACTAACGGCAAAGTGGACGGAATACGAAAGCGGAAGAACTTTCAGTTAGCTCAAGTAGTTAGCCGGTGTTAGCTAGCATGCTAACAAGCTAGCTCTGCTGTCATGCCTGGAGTTTCTCGAGATTTCACGTCGTAAACGAGAATTCATGGTGGGTAGCTGGTTAGCTTTAGCAGTTTGTTCCACCACCGAGGCGTAGGCACTGAGGACTTGGGGAAGAAGTGACAGGTCTGAGCTAACACACATCATTCCTACGGAGACCTCTGCTTCTTCTTCTTCTTCTGGAGACTTTTTGATGAGATGACAGGGAGCTTGCTATACTGAGTCTTTACGAAATGGTCGTGCTGTAACATAGCTTTAAAATAAGATCCCGGCTCAAAAGGAGGACTGTCAACCTTTTCATTTTGCCAAAAAGAAACCTTCGTCAAGACTGCAGAAATGCTGACTGACAGCAGGTAACTGGGATACAATTTTTACACATCTGACATGCACTATTACATTTATAATTGTTTGACTTTATTGCATTGTATCTAAGCAACCCAGTGCAGTTATCAAAAGCTATATGATTTAGTCTAGACATGCAGTGTTAATGTAATATTTGCACTGTTAATTCCCAATATAGACCCCACTAAAGGCATGCTAATCAATGTGTTCTCATAATGGGAGCGCCACATGTCTGATCATGTAACTGGGATGCTATTTTTGGATTCCTCTTTATGTTCTCTCTTTTTTTTTTTCATACTCTTCCTTTCTCCAGCCCTGCCTGTCACACTTCACTTTTATGTTCACTCTGTACTCCCAACACTCTGTTACTTACATTTGTGTTTTGCACAGGAAACGACACCGTAGCTGTGACAGTGAGGAACCCCAACAGCTGAGCCCTCAGGCCAAGAAGTCAGGAGGGGGTCCCAGTCTGCTCGTTTCAGATTTAGATTCAGAGGTAAGACTGAAATGATCTTGACATTCATCTTAACACCATCAAACAGATGTAGGTTTACCCTTTTTATCTAAATGTGTGATGAGTCTCCCAAGGTCATGTATTCCTTCATCACATGTGTATAAATACATGTGTCTCTGCATCGCATATGCAATGCACCAGTGTCAGGAAAAGCACAGAATGTTTTATTTACAGCCTTTCATCCTCACTCATCCGTGAAGTGTCAATTCACAGCTCATCTCTTTGGTGTTCTTGCAGTCTTCCAGTAGTGACAGCAGCAATGGGATCAGCAGTCCAGAGACAGGCATAGTGGCCACCGCCAGGCCGTCAATTCACAACAGCCGCATCCCCCAGTGCTCCCTCAGCCCGAAGCCAGAAGACTCCCGTAGTTCCTTGCAGCAAGGTTTCCATGGCGACGGCAGCAGTGTCTCCTACGACTGCATCAACAGAGTCCTGCGGGAGGCGCACTTCAGCAGCCTGCAGACCAGAGAGCGTCCAGGCTCAACATGACCGTGACCTCCGACCCCATCTCCTGACCTTTAGTCCCTCGCCCATCAGTGCTGAATCTCCTGGTACGGGGGGGGGGGGGGGATCCTCCTTGGAAAAAAAACTCACCCGTGTTAGGGCTGGTGTAATGAAATAGGCTGTGTGGGGAGGTTTACAGAATGTTTGGGCACGAAGGCTCATCCCCACCTCACCATGTACCATTTGTTAAGACCATAAGCACATCCGCCTGTCCATGGCCCAGCCACTGTGGTTTCTGTGCAGTATTGATGTGTGTTTGTGTGAGTGTGTGCACGCACCCTGTGCACTTTATAAAGAGGTATCATTCTCTTTACATGCGTGTGTCGATGCGTGGACATTTTCATTGGTGCTAATCACAAGAAACGCGTGATGATCCAAAGTGCTTGCAAAACTAAATGAAGCTAAGCACTTTAATCAATAACTCCTCATTCTGTTTACTCTTGGCTGGGGAAGGTGGCTGAATGCGTGTGTGTGTGTGTGTGTGGGGGGGGGTCATTGTTGTGATTCAAGAAGGAGGTTTATAGAGGCCAAGGAGTCACACCCAAGGAGCATTATTTAAAAAATCCAGTAAAATAACTTGTTACGGCTTCTTGTGTCAAATGTTAAGGAAATAATTCACCCACAAAAAGACTTAGTAAATCGAAGTGTGCGTTTAACAATAGCAGAACTGTGTCGAATAATTGTTTACAAGCTCTCAGACAAAATATTTCCTGTCTCATTGAATGAATCTGGATAAATGACATTTGGACACGTTTGGCAAGAATTTGTCAACGATCAAGATTTTTGAAAATGTTTGACTCTCCTTTCACTTTGTCTCAATCCAAGGTAACATGGTGAGAGTAATTGATGGATGTCCTTTTAAATGATAGTGTATTTAAACATACTTTCTCAGTCCAAATGATTCTAAGTGTGTTTGGCAGGTCAGTGGGTCAGAGGTAAGGGAACAGATGAGTCGCACCACCAAAACCCAACCTCAGATTAGACGCCGGCTAATTATAGAGCCGTGACAGGACTCTGCGTTTCAGCCGGTGTAAGGAACAGAGCGTCTCACTGAAACAGCCTGGAGAGAAACCGCTGTTTGTAACCATGTGTTTAACATTTGACACATCGTCTGTGTGTGTATGCGCCTGTCAGCCATACCTGTTGTATGTATGGTTTGAAAATGACCAGTACACTGTGTTGCAAATAAAATGAGAGATGTGGAAGTGACTCATATTTTATGTAATTTTCCTAAACATAGGACATTGAAAAATAAAGGCGTTGCTGAAAGCCGGGTCTGCAGTATCACATTTGTGTTTCAGTTGGTGCTGTAAGAAACACAGCAGGTTTTATTGTTACTCAGCATAGTTCATGTTCACTGAAATGAAATACATCAGTAGCGTTCTTTGTCGGTAGACTGGATTACCATTTTGGCCTGTAGTGTAAACCACATTCCTCGACACTGCAGTACAGTGTGTGACGATGAAATGTAATATGCCTTTTATTTGGTTACACAAACAACGGTTTATAAATTGCTGATAATCTGCTTTATGTACACTGTAAACCCAAATGTTGACAATCATTTGAAACATTAAGTAGTGTACACTTACAGTAGTAAAAGGTTCTTCTAACGGGAATATATGGACTTCTTGTGACATTTGTCTTAGTTTTTGAGTTCATTTAACAAATCACTTGTTATTTACTTGGACTATCTCGCATATTAAAGGTGGGGTAGGTAATTTTGGAGAAACCAGCTCGAGTGCGCTAGAATTTGAAAATACACAACCGGAAAAAATCTGCTACTTCCTTACAGAGCCCCTCCTCCAACACACACGAACGCGCACATGACCAATGAGGGCACGAGATAAGTTTGTGCACAGATGGAAGGCTGACAGGCAGTTAGGCCATCCAGTTATTTTAGCCAGGCCGGCTCAGATGATTGGTCGTGCTTTTTACAGTACTACGGCTTCCACAGATGACATTTTTTTATGGATTTCTTGTCAAAGCACTTCAGATATTCATTGCTATCGGGATGTTAAGAGCATTCCATGGAATATAACAAAAAGTGTATCTCGAGCCGGTTTCTCAAACTTACCTACCCCACCTTTAAGTAGTATACACTTACAGTAGTAAAAAGTTCTTCTAACGGGAATATGTGGACTTCTTGTGACATTTTTCTTAGTTTTTTTAGTTCATTTAACAAATCATTTGTTATTTACTTGGACTATTTCGCAGATTAAGTTAACACTAATTAAAAGTATACATTTCTCTGTACTTATTTCTTGTGTGTCTGATGTCACTAACGGCACGCAGGAAAGCACCATAAATGCCTGCAGTAAGGGGATCTGCTCTTCATTTTCAGCGTTTGATGTATAATATTAAAGGTCTGAAAACGTTTAAGTACATCAACTTTGAAGAACTAAGGCAATCAGATGCCTTACATTTTTTTGAGTTATGGTAACTTTTTCAGGTTTACAGAGCACACAAAATACCTAAATAATAAATTCCTCCATTAGTTCTTCAAACGTATCTTCACACACTCTCAGGTGGGTTATGGATTAATCAATACATGGTAGACGCAATAAATAGTTTGTAAACTAACACTCATGACGTTTACACTGACATACTGTACGAGGTAAGTACCAACACATATGGAAGACCACTCTCAGATTTATGAGTCCATAAGAAAAGCAATTGTGCAAATAACAAATCGAGGGCGTTCTCCCTCGGAGGTTTAGCGCTCGCTGCGGAGGCGTTAAGAGTTTGTTTTTGTCAGCTAAACGGAATCCTGAGATAAAGCAACTGTTTACAATAACAACCTGTAATTCAAGCATTATTGTTAAATACTTATTAGGAAAATTAGGCCTTAACCTACAAACGGCATCCAGCAAAGCCCTCATGTCTGAAGAGTTAAGGGGTTTCTCAGCTGTGGACTCTAAAGGACAATATCTCTGTCTCTGCTGCTTGAATACATTTCCCAACGAGGCACCATACTGATAGACAGAAAATCCCAACATAATGTAAATCTGCTGTCTATATAATCTTGATTTTGAATTCAATAGATTTCCTAACTTAATGACATCATTGGCTTAACTGCGACAGCTCCAGCTGTGTAAAGTTGGTCAAAAGTTGAGAAAGGAAAAGGCCGACACTGGTTGGCTGCTATCACATGCGACTGAAGTGCAAATTAAAGCAGTGTCATCACTGGTTTTGCTGCCGTTCTGCAGAGCTTGATTCTCCTTTAAGCTGTCGTCCATCGTGTCCATCTCTGTCTGGGATATCTGTCTTTTACACAGCGGCGTTGCCTTGGTGACCAGCTGCATCCCGCTGAACAGAGACAGTCTGCTCAGACAGGGCTGCTCACTCTGAGGCTCCGCTGACGAGAAGCTATCTGTGTGAAGCTCTGGTTCTTCAGCGACAGATTGAACCTCAGCAGTCCTGTTCGGCTCCACCTGGTTCTGCATTGACTCGGTCAGAACGGGAGGAAGTTTCTCCTCTTCATCGTCATTCATCAGCTCCACTGAGGAGTCTATCTGGACCTCCAGACTAGAGGGAGAAGATGGGTGATTTGGTGGTGGGGTGACACCAGTGGGTGAGATGTCGAGCTGATGAAGGGTGGTGTTGTTAGCAGACTGGGTTGGTAGTAAAGGGTCTAAGTATGTGGCTGCAGGAAGCCGGTGAGATGTTTCCTGATGGCTGCTGTTCGCTGCTTCCTGCCTCGGAGCGTGTGCAGATCCACCAATCAGAGCCTCAAACTGACGCAGGATCTGGTAAGAGGAGATAAGAACAAAATAAATACGCCCTCATTTTAAATGTTATCTAGCCCTGCATCCTTATACAAAGCTCTCATGGTGTTAACACAAATGTCTGCCATGCTAATCATCATGTTTGCCTTGAAGGGTCTTAGTGTCCGTCTCTTGGCTGATCAGTTTATTATAGACTCATAAAAGGAGCTGAGGTTGAACTTCTAAAATAAAATAAAAGTCAAACATGTCCCTTAAGATGCCATTGGGTTGATTCTGTCCCATCAGTCCTCACCATCTGCAGCCTTCTCTCTTACCTTGGTGGCTTTGTTGGCCACGGGCCCCGGAGGCCCCTCACTCAGCTGACGGAGCCGCCGTTGTGTAGCTGCAAACATTTGTTCCAGAGAGAGGAGGTCAGAGGTCATCAGGCAGGATACAGCACACAGTGCCCGCTGCAGGATTAGAGGAAAACAAAGAAACGTATATTAGTACTGCATATTGACGTTTATATATACACAAAAAAGAAAACATATATATGGATATTCAGTGAATCTTAATCGTGGTTACCATCTGAACGGTGTTTGAGGGATCCTGAAGCTTGCTTGAGAGCAACTCCACCACCACCTCACAGTTGAGAATGGAGCACCTGAAAGATTAAAAATGAGACAGAAATCAAGCCAATTAAAACAAAATAATGATAACACAGTTCATAAAGGGAGAATCTGCATTATTTTTCAGTCTGATTTGAGCTGCACTGACTCTTTGATGAAGTGCTGGCTCTCCTCTCTGGACAGGAAAGCTTTGGATCCTTCGGTCAGTCTGCTGATCAGCGCCACCTCCTGGCCACAGTCCCCTAACTGCAGCGCCTCCCCCCTGAGCAGTGTGAGGGGCATGGAGAGAGGGAGAGTACTCCTGTTATCTTCTGCTAACACTTAACATTCAAAGCCTAATCTACCAGCTCTTCAATGTCACCACATTATCATTTAGGCAGGAAGTGTAACGGGTCAACTCACCGCTCTGATAGGTCGCCGCTGCTCTCTCTACTGGCTCCTGATTGGCTCCCGGTTGCAGACTTGCCGTTAGCCGCCATGTCCTGAGAGGAGTTGTGAGAGGAGCCGTTGCTGCTGTCCGTCTCCTCCCAGCCGCCGCCCACCTGACCCGGGCAGCGCTGGGTCGATGCTGGGAACACAGGAGGATTATGGGATAGTGTTATGAAGCGAATGGCAATTATTTGGGCCAGGATAATAGTCAAGACATGACATTTTCATATGTTCCCATGCCTAAATCACACACTGCACATACAAACCTATTTTGTAATGCTATTTAAAAAGCCTCGGCCCCAGGGGTGGGAAGTAGTGGAGTACAAATACTTCGTTACTGTACTTAAGTACATTTTTCTGGTATCAGTACTTTACTCCACTACTGGTTTTTTTGAAGACTTTTTTAACACAAATACCTGTACTTTCTACTTCTTACATGTTGAACACAAATACCTGTACTTTCTACTTCTTACATTTTGAACCCAAATACCTGTACTTTCTACTTCTTACATTTTCCAAACAGGCTGGTTCCTTTAGTTTGAATGTGTGTTTGGTGGCGTGATCATTATTATTTAGAGTCATTGCGTGCCTATTGATTTGAACACGATCCGTGTATCCATCATTTCCTGGTCTTCTCTAAAGAAGAGGGACCAATGAAAACGTTGTCATGTTGCCGTTGTTCAGCATGGAAACATTCATTAGCTAACAATGACATTATTGTTCTATTAATATAAAGGGAGGTCAGGTACTCTTTAAAACAGCTGCTAGTTATGGGTACTTTTTACTTAAGTACATTTCGAAGCCCATACTTCTTTACTTTTACTTGAGTAAAGAAGTTTAGTCAGTACTTCTACTTTTACCAGAGTAAAGGATGTGTGTACTTTTGCCATCTCTGCTAAGTTGCCATCCCACTGTGTCTTACCTTTAGGCGTGCTAGTGGGCAGGTTGTAGGCACACGCCGGCACCGCTACCTCTATGGGGGCTGAGGGTGCTGCTACGGCCCGGTAATAGTTGTCATGGAGACGGATGCCCTGGTGTTCGGTCGGGGGGAGGACGGCGCTCGCCACCACCTCTGCAGCCTTCTGGATCTTATCCAACAGAGAGTCACCGCCTGCTGGGAGACACACATAAAAGACACAGATGTTAACGCAGTAGAGAAGCTTGATGTGCGTGTGCGTGTGCGTGTGCGTGTGTGTGTGTGTGTGTCCATCACTTACCTGTTGCCTGTTTCCCAGGACTGTATCCAAAGCCCTGCATTCCTGACCTGTGTGTGGTTGCTGAGCCCATTCCTGGAAAGAGAGACATGTTGTAATGAAATCCAAAGTATTCAAAATACATGAGCAGATGTAACTCTATACGTTATGAACAGATGGATATTGTCATTATAAAATTGGCAAAACTCACCCATTGTTGGAGGGGCTAGGTTGGGCGGGGAGACGCTGCCTTTGGTGGAAATTGTATCTGTGAAAAGCAACCTGGCCACTTCCTGCAGAAAGACAAAGTGACATTTGAGTGTGTTTGCCTAATAATAAGGCCATAAACAGTTTTATGATTGACATAAATATTAGGCTCACCTGTGCGGTATTTCTAACTTTCTGGTACAACGCTGTGCCGTGGATAGGATCAGGAGGGCCGCTGTAAACTTTAAAAATCAAAACACACAACAGCGAGTGAGTATTCAGCTGACAGAGCAAACTCATGAGATTAAAACGGAGCTCAAAGCACAGCATCTAACCTGATGCTTGCTGGATGAAGGTGGAGTTCCTTCGCAGTTCTGTGAGGAAATGGTTTGAACCATGACCGCACAGATGGACAAAGATCTTCAGGACCTGAAACACTGAGTTACTCACAGGCAGGAAAGGGAGGAAAATCTACAATAAATGATATGAAAGACTTGAATAATAAAACTGTTCTCACCTTTATTTTGACATGGCATGACTCCACTTGCAGCCTCTCAAGAAGATACTCCAACAAACACTGACCGTAACCTGACGACTCATGGGAGATTTCTACAGTGATATGGTGGTTAAGGATATGTTGGCAAAGTTTCCTGGTTAGAATACTCGAAGATGAGTCTTGTTTAATCGATTAATTGTTTGTTCTGTACAATGTCAGAAAACAGTAAGTATGTCCATACCATTTTTTAAAGTTGAGGGTTATGGTTTTAAATGTGTTGTTTTGTCAGTCAACAACCCAAATATATTCAGTCTAACATGACATTCAACAAAAAAAAGCACATCATCTCCATACTTGAGAAGCTGAAAACAGTATTTTTTGGCCATCTTGAATGTGTAAAGTCGACTTATACTGTAGCTGCAGCTCTACATTGAAAAATGAACTTCTACACTTTAAAGCATAATGTTTACAGTGATACGCTTAACATGTGATTTACCACACTTTGTGTAGATCACAGACGAACCATTCACCAGCCATCAGATTTGGATAAAAGCGTCTAACAAGTAACATGTAATCAGATGAAATCATCTATTGCATGTGAGCCACATATAATAAGGACATTCAGAGTTTGCAGCTGCTGGCTGGACCACAACAGAAGCTGAGAAAAAGGATACTCCCAATGTCTTGGAAAAGGTATCCAGGGCAGGGGTTTTCATCATCTGCTGTTGCCTTCATCAGACTCGGGACCTACAGTTAGTGGGAAAGCATGAAGTGGAAAACAAGTTCAAAGCTGACACGAAGGGACTGTGATTTATCCCATGAGCAAAGCACAGTCCACATACCAAAACATTGTATATCAAGCTAACCTGTGTACTTTATAGATACAGATGTGACACAGATATGGACCAGGGTCCGTTTATCAGATTACTTTGACCAAACCGGTAGTTATAACAGTGCTCTATGCCTGTCAGTTGCTTTAAAATCCAACTAAAACATCTGCCAGGTCAAATGAGAAATGAAGAAATGTGTTCTTCTTGCTGTTAGCTATCAAGCTAGCAAGCTAATGGTAGCACAACTTAACAGGTTTACATAGACATGTTAACGTACGTCACACCCGTCATACTCCATTCAGCTGTTCGTGGTTTTAACAGCTTGTAATATTGACCGTAAACAGCACTTACTTTCTGAAGAAAAGCAAATCTTTCCATAAATGTTGCCATGATTTAGCAATCCTGGCTGCTGGTTACTCATCTTCCTCCGAGGGGTACGAGAGGAGGAGGAGCTAGAGGTGACAGCCAGCCAATCACAGAACAGCAAGTAGCTATCTTACATTCTATTGGCGTTCCGGTTACGCCTACGTTCGGAAAACAGCGAATCAGATTCAGGAAATCCTTGTGATTGACGTGGAATTAAGCGAATCACAGTACCCTATATCCTGCTGGAGGTTTCCTTGATGACAGGGTCAACAATATGGCGCTGCCCATGTATTACAGAAATGCTTCATCTGCTAGTTGATGTTTATTTCTTAGTTTAAATGCTTCATAAGCTCCCTTTTAAATTGAACACACGGTGAAGCATTATCTGTTCACCAGTGCTGTGTTCTTTAACCTAAAGGAACTATTTTAACACCCGAACAGGAACCATGTCTGGGTCAAATGTATGGAGTCGCAGTCGAGAGAAATTTAGACTTTTCCCGGAACTTTTTGCACAGTGTTCACCAGAGGTAAGCTCTGTTTTATATAACTTAGCAGGGGAAATAGTGGTAAGCTATTACGTGTGCCTCTAGAGTTCACATTACAATACATTGCAGCTTTACTATCTGTAGTGTGCTCCTAACAAAGTCAAATCAGTGTATTATATCATCTTCAAATCAGTGGATCTTGATAACTATTGCTGATGAAACATATGTACATGTATTCTTTAGTGTGAACGTTAAAATAACGTGTTGGGCTGCTGTTAATTATCATGTCATCAATACCACTAATGTGACTCAGTGTTTCACTATTATAAGGTACACCTGCATTACTATACATATCTCTAACAGTTGCTGTTCACTTTCTTAATAGCTTATTTATGAACAGAAGGTTTTATGTTCACAACCCCCTTTGTTTGATTTAATTTAAAGCTTAACTCTCTTGCTCTTACAAATAAGAAAACATGAGGTGAAATTAATTGCTGTTTTTTATTATGTTCTTTAAAATATTTTATTAATATTTTTCTATTTAATCATGAAATGTCAATTTTTTTTCTCTTATTGCATTGTTTTATTTAAAAAAAAGAATCATGTTACTTTCGGCTATCCTTTGTTGTTTTGTGGTGGACCAGATATGCCTTTTTTTTGGTGAGAATTTCCTTTGATATGTGATTTTTTTAAATCACTAACTTATATACCACCAGACAGAAACTGAAAAAGATAACTAACATTATTCTCTGTCCAATGTCACCAACTCAGGCAGCAACATATGGGAAGTGTGTGTCCGCCTCTACAACAGGCAGACAGGAGCTGAAGAAGGACATGTGTGCTAAAGAGTTTCAAGCACTGAAGACCTGCTTTACAAATGCAGTAAGTTAGTAATCCTCCTAATTGTTTTAGTTAGTGATCAAAAGATGTTCATGAATGAAAAACGACTCTCTTTTTATGACAGGCCAAGAGGAAAGCCAAATGATGGAAACTATCCTAGCTGTTAAAGCGGACATAAAACTTTGAGAGGAGAAAACATGAAGTGTTGATGGACCTCTGGTTCTGACAGCGTATCTTGATAACTCTTTCTCTTGTTGGTACTGTTAATGATCTAAATGTGTGTAATGTAATAAAAAAAATCACTTTTTTATGACGTTGTTGAAATGAAAGCTGCATGTTGTTACTACTGACATTATTTAGTATGCAAGACCAGTGTTTCCGCCAGACCAGGGCCACAGTTTGCCACGGAGCCTCAGTTTCGCCGCTGCGAGGCTCCGGCGCTCGCAGTTCACGCGCGTGCTCCACTAGCACCCCCCGCCAAGGCTCGCCGGCAGTACACTTTCCGTCACAGGAACACGCTTTGCTGGCGACGAAAATAATCCCACCAGACTCCTTTGCCCCTCCAACAGAGGGATGTCCTTGTCCTTTTCGTCATTTCAAGCGATAAAAACTCGGTCTTCTCTCGAATTATTATTTTTTTGGTCAAATGACGGCAAGACGCCCCCCTGACGGAAACGCTGTGCAAGACTAATAAATGTACAGAGGTGAATACAAAATCTATGATATTACCTGTCTCTGTGAATATATACAGTCTATGCTGTGAACACAAACAGACCAAGAGCCATGGATGTAATATAGATGTTTGTATTTAATATTTTCAGCAAAATGTACAGAAATACAATGCACATAGAAAAATAGAACAAATAAGTTTCTTGTACAAAGCAAAGGTCCAACATGTGTTGAAGTGCCGCCCGATGGAGGAATTTCTGGGAATACAAACACGATCCATTTTTTCTTTCATTGTCCTTAACATAATATCATTTTCTCATGATTACTGTTCTCTTTGCAGTAGGAGTTAAAGCACACGTTGAGGACAAAAACAGCCACATTTGGATAAAACAGCAGCATGTGGATTAGAAGGCACTCATAAACCAAAAAGGAACAGGTATCGAAGGTGGGATGATTTGTAACTTGATGCTCGGGATCTAGCTCCTCCATCGTCCACAGTTTATAAACCTCATAGCTCTGAGGCTGAATTCACCAACTTCCATTTGAAAGTTGAAATATTACAATATGTACATCTTGGAGTAACAGATAAACACAAACTAATCAACATAAAAGCAGCCCAGGAGATAACGCCTAAACACAAACACTAATACATCCAGGCTTTCTGAACACTTTACAGAAGGGTCTTTGCATAGATTTATATACATTTCAACAGTAACCTCTTCATAATCCTCCTCCCTAAAGACAAAAATAAGTTAATATTTACATGTACTTTGCTCTTTAATAAACGTTGTGCTTCTCCAGAGTACACAGTTTGAAGGAATACAAGTGTTTCCTCTTTGTCCATATCTTTTTGAAGGCAGGAAAGAATGTAAGGCACCGGTCTCGTGGTCCACAGTGAGAGAAGTTTGTGCTGGAGTGAGAATCTGTTTCATTTCGCTCTTTCGTCCTCAGGGACCTGCTTAATCTGCCGCGAGTGCACCATGGCCCCGGCCAGCAGCTGCTCCTCCAGGGCCACGTGCAGGTCGGAGCCCCCCAGCTCCAGCAGGGGCTCCAGGCCCGGCACCCCCCTGGACCCTCCAGCTCCTCTGGTTCCCAGTGCTCGGCGCCTCCTCCTCAGATCCATCTCTCCTTGGCCCCTGACCTTCTCCTGGGAGCCCGGAGGCGGAGCTTTGACGGCCCCTTCCTCCTCCTCAGCTTTCTCTTTGAGGTCTCGTCCTCCTTTCTTCAAAGCTTCTCCTTCTCCCTGCGCTGCCTTTCCGTCTTCCATCTGGGCTTTCCTCTCCCGAGCCTCCTCAGCCTTCTCCATCTTCACTCCCTCCACTATTTCATTGTTGTGCATCTCCCGCTGAAGTCTCTCTGCTGCAGCCTTCTCCGTTTCTAGTTTCTCCTTCGCTGCTCTCTCCTTCTCCTTTTCTAGTTTCTCCTTCTCCGCCCTCTCCTTCTCTAGTTTCTCCTTCGCCGCTCTCTCCTTCTCCTTTTCTAGTTTCTCCTTCTCCGCCCTCTCCTTCTCCAGCTCCTGCTCTCTGGCCAGCTTCTCCCTCCTCTCCCCCTCCAGCCGTTCTTTCTCCACCCTCTCCTGCACTTCTTTCTCCACCCTCTCCTGCACTTCTTTCTCCGCCCTCTCCTTCTCCAGCTCCTGCTCTCTGGCCAGCGTCTCCCTCCTCTCCCTCTCCAGCCGTTCTTTCTCCACCCTCTCCTGCACTTCTTTCTCTATCCTCTCCTTCTCTAACTTCTGTTTGCCCATCTTTTCCTTTATGTCTTTCGCAAGCTCAATTCTTGCCTGGTATTCTTTTGCTATTTTTTCATTTTCTTTATCTAGGCTTCTTTCTTCTTCTACAACTTGAGCTACCTTCTCATCTTGAGGTGCAGACTGACGGTCAATGGGTTGTTTCTCTCCCAGCGGCACCCCCCTGGCCCCCAGCTCCTTCTGCTTATGGGGTTCTTTTCCATGGCCGTCCTCTTTGTAAGCCGCCTGAGCAGCTGCTTTAGGAACCTCCTCCTCAGCAGCCTGCTCTTGTTTCTGGACGGGAGGCTCTGCCGCTCCGGCAAACTCCTTGTCCGGCTTCACGTCCGGTTCCAGGTCGGACTCTTTGGGCTTTGCTGCTTCACCTTCCGCCCCCTCCTGGACGCTTTTCTCCGCGTCACCTTCAGCACCTTTGGGGTTTTAAAACACATGAATTTCCCGAAATATTACACTTCCCCGTAGGATTTGAAGTAATTTGAAGTTTAGCAAATCTCAGTTTATTTAAATGTGAAAAGAAAAATGTTTTGAGACCTATACCAAAGACAAATCAGAATAAATAATTATGAGGCCAATATTAATATCAAAATAATCTTAATTATCATTTTGCCCATAATAGGATACTGTGCATTTAGCGAGTGCACATGCAGTTGCCTCTGTAGCAAAATTGCAAGGAAATAGTCCAAAATAATACTTTAAAAAGTCATGGAAAGGTTTTTCGATATTTTAAAAGTGTGTATATTGTCATTATTTCATATGTAATTTAATTCCAGATTAATGGAAGTATTCTATTTTTTTTTTTTATAGGTGCTACAGATACACAGAATTGGTGGCATAAGGACTGGGCATCATGAAAAACCATTGATGTCTTTATATACAAATAAAGATGTATGCGATAAAAAAATGGTTCCAATAGAAACCACTAATACATATATCAAAAATAATGGTTTAAAGCAGACATGTGAAGTCTTCAAATATTATTTAAAGGCTATAGTGCCATGTCTTTAAGGTATTGTGTGTGCACCCACCAGGCAGTTTCTGGTGGATCTCCTTGTGTTGCTCCTCGATGACATGCAGGAGTTTTTCCTGCTGGTCCAGGAGTCTCTTCTGCTGCTCCTGCTGCTCCTTGATCACCTGCAGCAGCACGGCGTGGTCCAGCTGGCCCTCTGCGGGACACAAACAATCAATTAGTAAAAAAAGCTCTGGGGAAATTGTTGTTAAGAAGCTTGGTTAGAATGATGTGGGGCCAGTCTCTAGGTGAGAGGGGAAGGGAAATAAATTGCTCTATGGCCTAGTACTGTCTCACTTAAACACACATCTACAGGTTGAAGCCTTACGCAGCGTCCACACGGCAGCGTGCGTTGAAGCTTGCCGGCGGGCGTGTCTGAAACTCGACCAACAACCAATCACATGAATCTCCCACCCCCGGACACACAAGCACGCGGTTTGATTGGCTAGAGCTTGTACTGGCATATGATTTGATTGGCTGACGCTTCCGTCGAAGCTTCAAAAGTTGAACTTTTCTCAACTTTTGAAGCGAGCAACGCGAAGCGACGGAACCACAATGCAGTTCGGCAAAGCGTGACGTCACCCTGAATCAAGCTTCAACGCACGCCGCCGTGTGGACGGGCCGTTAAGAGGTAGACTGGCAGCTGGAGACACACACACACTATGTTAGGGAGCAATGTGAGAGGGTGGATTCTACAATGGAAAATGATTATTTAGTTGTAGGATCAAATGTAAATCCGTACATGTACATTGTATCTATTAACTTGGCCCACTGAGGAAATGAAGGGACATTTGAGCCAGATAAAGAGAAGAGGCAAGAGGGAATTCATACCTGCAACCAGCTTTTTTATCACTGTGATAGGAGTCCGGCAGAGAAAGAAAGAAAACAAAGGGTAAAGATGGAGCAGAAGAAAGAGAGGGCAAAAGTGAACAGAACAAGAAAGTCAACAAAAGCCAAACAAGACAAGCCAGGTCAAGAAGTAGGAGAAAGAAATGGATTTGAAAACACTGGAGCTTTTTAAAGCATGTGTACTAAATTGAAAATAGGCACAATAAGCAAGAACGGATCGCAGAGATAAGATTACAAAAGATAAAACATGCAAATTGAAAAGGTAGAGTGGTGAAAATATTGTAAATGCAGCGTACACTTAAACTGATATTGATCGTTTTGCCTTTATTAGGTGGCTAAAATAGGTTTTCCTGTTGCCCCCTGTCGACAGCAGTTTATTGCTTCTACAAACTGGGGACGTGCCGAATCTACTCTGTGTGATAAACTGAATATGGATAAGTACCCCATGTAAACCTTCCCTTTAATTTGGCGGGACAAAATGGTTTCTTGCAGTCAGCTTTATATAGATTACCTCACGTCCGATCCAGTTTATCAATAAAACAAATATAAATACATTACACATTTTCAGTGCAACTTGTTGGAAACTGCTGCTAACTTAGTAACCAAAGACTATGAGCTCATGTCAATGCCCCTGAATCCCCCAAATCTGTGTTCTCCGCTCACCGTCCATCTTCTCGTCCGCTGTGTCTTTGCTCTCTGCCCCTGGAGCCCCGTCTGCAGCATGATGCTCTCCTTCAGCAAGTGGAGCTGAAGGATCAACAAATATCACAGGTTAGCGTTGCATTAGAACTGTTTGTCCAACCATCTGCCCTAATGTGGAAAACAGAGAATACGCTCACGTTTCCCAGCAGCGTCCGGAGCTTTTCCAGCTTTATCCCCCAACTCGGCTGCGTTCCCTTGGAGAGGATCTTTCACCGGGTCGAGCTTCTCACCTTCCTTCAGCGGGGGAACGTCTTGCTTTTTGTCTTCCTCTGCAACCAGCTTCTCCAACACCTCATTGGACCGGACTTCACCTCCGCCCAGATCCACTTCCTCTTTGCCC